AGGCATGTGCCACCACGGCTGGCTAATTTTTGTATTTTTAGTAGAGACGGGATTTCCCTATGTTGGTCAGGATGGTCGAACCTCTGACCTCAGGTGATCCACCTGCCTCAGCCTCCCGAAGTGCTGGGGTTACAGGCATAAGCCACCGTGTCCGGCTCACATCAACTTCTAATTTGAGTTTGGACTGTTTCACAAAATTAGCTCTAATATTGATCTAATAGATGTTATAGAGAGAGAAGTTTTAGACAAAAGAAATGCCTAATGACCCTAAAAAGAGTTCAGATTATTTTATTAAATCTGTTCCCTCAACTTTACCCTTTTATTCATACATCTGATTGTTAGTATCATGATTTTTACTTTTCATTATGGGCACTCACAAAGCCAGTGCTAAGTTATTAAGCTTGATAATTAGTTTTAATTTTTTTATGGTTTTAAAGCCCCATTTATAATGTTTTATTACATATGTATAAAATTATTTAGAACAGTGGAGCTTCCTTTCATGAGCTTTCGGGGAATACAAGATTGTTGATGTCTAAATCTACAGCTGCATTCTAATAAATTGCCACTTTATTATTTACTTGAATTATGTTTTCTCGAGAAACCAAAACTTGCAAATTTCGTCTTTTAAATTTAAATGTACCAGCTTTATAAACTTAAAGAAATTTTAAGTTGTAGGGGGGTTACACATAGATATTTCTACCTGAATATTTGAGTAAAAACAATACATTAAAAGGAAAGTTTTTTCTCTCATATAATTTCTCAAGCAGTAGGTGACCAACTAAACATGTCTGCACTTCTTGTTACTTGATGCTCATGGTTCTTTGCATGTGTCTTTTAAACTAGAGCTTTAACTTCCTCTTGTGCATGGTTTGTGCAAATTGCAGTTTATTAACTTGTCTTTGTCTTTGATGCTTGCAACCTAATCCATCACAGCTACACTGCCTCGAAAAGAAAGTGCTGTCAAACAGGAAACAGAGAGTGAGTATGCTTAGTGTATTAGTAGGTATTCTCAATGCGTGTTTGTTTCATGTCTAGAAATCAGTTGTCTTGAAAAAAGGTAACACCAAAAAGTTTGATTGCTCTGAATTGCCAGGTATTGGTGAAAGAAAGGCAACATGATAGTAGTGGTATGTACATCCAAGAAATGTATGATATAGTTAAAACTGCTTGAAGAGTAGTAGTAGAACTTTGTGTCAGGAATTTATGAAAAGACTTAACCATTATACTTCTGTTTTCAGGCTATTTAAAAACTATAAAAATTCTTATATAGATATGGTCGGATTTTACATAATGAAGCCAAAGTTTATCTTTAATTATTCCAACTTTGTCTTCATTTGTCCTTTCTGACCATTAGCACATAGTACAAGGTAACTGAGAAATACTCAGGAAGGATGTTTTTAGAATATATTAATTATTGTTTGTATTTAATTCTGAATAAAAATATCATATTTTCTTCTAAACATCAAATCCTTTCACTCCTTGGTGTATGTGAGCCGTTGCCCAGCTGTATGTTCTCATTTTCCCTCATGGCTATGGTGGATACCTAAATTTTACCTAAACACAGACGTCCCATATTAATATGGTTAGTGCTGTATGTATTACATTTCAGTTGTATTTTAAATATAACAAGTTTTCAGGGTGTTTTTTCTCTTCATTTTATTTAGTTTTTAAAGAACTATAATCAGTTCACTTACTGGAAAAGCAGTTTTAGAGTTCAGATCATATTAAGTTGAATCATATGTAATTGACTTTTTTTGCTGGGCAGAATGATCAAGTGTGGGCAATTTCATGTGGTTCAACCTAATATATTGATTTATTGTAGAGGTAACATTGAGATGCAGCAATTATCTTCTGAAGCCATGCTAGCTAATATGCTAACATGGTCCTCAGTGACCTTCATCCATATTCTGGTCTTTTTGAATGGAAAAGAAGCCCTCATCTACTTTAGTCTAGTGATATCACCAGGCGACTTTATGAAGCAGGGAGGTTATAGACAATATGCTCTTTAAGGTCCCTTTCAGTCCTGTTCTGTGGATCTGTGTATATCACTTCTCTGTTGAATATGCTCAGTATTAGGACACAAATGTTAATGGAAGATAAGGAAACTATATCACCTATCCCATATAGAAGATTGTGCACTAACTAATATGAGCCCTGGAAGACCAAGATCTGTCCCTGCTTTATACTTTGGATCATTAATTTCCGAAGATCACAACTTTCAAAGTTTTATTATTTCTTAGGTCTTCATGGAAGTTCGGGGAAATTAACTGGATCTACTTCTAGTCTAAATAAGCTCAGTGTTCAGAGTTCAGGGAATCGCAGGTCTCAGTCATCTTCCCTGCTGGATATGGGAAACATGTCTGCCTCTGATCTCGATGTTGCCGACAGGACTAAATTTGACAAGGTAAACTAAAATAACAAGTACTTCTTAAACACTAACATTCGTTTTCTAACAGCAGTTTGTGGTTGCTT